GATTGCTTTGGTCATGTGCCTGTGCCTATGCGTGGCCTGCAAAATTGACTAAGCCTTTGAATGCTGATTCTCAGTCACGTCCAGTGAAAATAGGAATCGACTCTTTTACCGTTTCGATCAAAAGCCACACGGTAAATCAACAAGTTATTCCACCCCCTTCCATCAGTACATCAAGTATCAAAAGTCACGGCTCTGATTGAGCTGTATTGAAAGTCTGTGCCCACAATAGCAGTAATATTCACCTTCATCTTGGCTTTATTGATACAAACTTGAGCCGCTTGTACTACTCGTGCTCTCCATTGCAGCACCTCTTAATTTTTGCCCCAAAGTGCCTCGGTTTGAATTAGGATTTGAAGAAGAGGAGAAAATTGGCTTGATTTATCCCCAATTCTGTTAAATTTAGGGCAATATGTGTACCGAAGTCGTTTAGGACATTTATGCTAAAATATTGCCACGTTGGATCTTCAACAAGCCATGTTGGAAAAAAAAATTAAAATATTGCAAAGTCGAATTTTAGGCATCCAAAATTGGTAATAGCACTTTAAGTGATCATTTTTTTTTACCAAAGTGACACTGAAGTGATTAGTTGAGAAGTTTTACTGCTAAAGTAAGTGTTGTAAAAAAGTTATGGCATTTCTAGTGCCATTTTCTCAAAGAAATTGTTTACAATGAGAATCCGGTGCTTAAGCTTATAGAGTAGGGGAAGGTTTGTGTAAAAGCACCAAAAAAAAGAGAAAAAAACCAAGCCCTTTATTCATTTTAGATTGTGCTCGTATAAAAAAAAAAATGAATAAAAGTTTTTCATTGTTTATAGCCACTTTGGTGAAACATACTCGATCCCACATGATATTTAGAATGTAATCCCCACTAAATAAAATAAAGCTATTTCTGGGCATTTTTACTTTACTTCGATTTTTTCATCCTACTATGAACGGAAACTTTACATATCAAGTCATCGAAATTTTGCATATTGCCCATAAATATGAGTTGCGAGAACGCAACCTCTAAATACTACCCAAGTCTCAATCTTAGTCTGTATTTCTTTCCATAGTGAAGCTAAGATGTAACCATCTAAGTCATTTAATCACCATTACTACTAACTATTTTTTGTTTGGGGTCTAGAAATGGTTAGATTTAGTTGGCTTTGAGAATATAGAAAGGGAAGCACTAAAAAAGTTTAGCTCCAATTGTTGAGGAAAAATCGAATGAATGGGGAAGAAAATGAAATCAAACTTTGAGGCGTGATAACACTCTTTTGAAGAAATTATTTGATCCATGACGTTGCTAATGGTTACTGGCAAAAATCCTCCGAGATACAATAAAGTCTCAAGCGAGAATACCAAGTAGAAATTCTAGTATTTCTCTGATAACTCTTAAAGGGAAACAATAGGAAACAATGGTTGTATTTCTCTTTTGGAAAGAAACGAAAATGGAAGAAGAAGATGAGTATTGAATAGACACGTTAAGTAATTAATAGCAAAAGCCAAGAAGATATATACAAACAGACATAACGTTTCAAAGGTTAAGAAATTATATCTAAACAGATACAATATTTGAAATAACCGCAGCCGAAGTAATAAAATTCGAAATTAAATATATAAAAAATAACCGTAACTCCTTTGTGAACAGTCATACTGTTTCAATAAGACACTCTAATTAATTTTGGGATATATTCACTAGAAGTCCTAAAACTTGTTACAAAAGCGCAATTGAGTCTTAATATTTAACTTGTCAAATTGGTTCAATCGAGTTCTAAAGTTAACACCGTCAAACAAACTAACGGAAAATATTGACATGGCTTTTTATTATTTGTTTCTATCATACGTGGCGATGACATGGCTCTTTTTATTATTATTTTAATACTAATTTTATTTAAATTAAATTTTAATCAAAGAATTTGATTACAATAACATACTTAAAAAGAATAATAGATGATAGGAGAATCAAGCATTTTCGTAATTAAAGGGGGAGGACACCAAGTTCAAGAGTTTGTTTTATAATTAGGATAGACAAAGTGTTGCTCTATTTGAAAATTCTACCGCTAAACGAAGGGAGGCATGCTGAAAAGATCAAGCCAAACCTCCAAGAAGCAGGACCAAAGTCAAACATGATACATTAACTGATACTTAGGGGATCAATGGGCTAAATTGAGATGGATTTGGACATAAGGTAAACAGAAGATTTAACTTTTATGGATAAGTTCAGCTGAGAGTAACGTTCGGAGAATCAACGAGCTCACGGTAATGATTGACATATGTAAAACCCGACATGCTTAAATAGAAAGTTTAGATGGCCTCTCTTTCGAGGAATAATATTTGCACTCCTTTTTTTTTGGCTGAACAATATTTATACTCCAATTTTTTACTTTTTCTTCAGTTTCGCAGTAACTTTTTCTACAAAATCGAAACTCTAATTTATTAGGTATATTGATATATAAAGCAGACCCAGATGGATTGCTGGCCTTTGAGCCACCCTGGCGACAAGGAAATTTCGTCGAAGTTTCATGTAAGCTAATTATTGAAGCTTCTTAATCTTTGCCACATCAGATTTTGAAAAGGCTGCTGCAAGTCCTTTTTGAGGCTCTAACCTTTGTGCCTATAAAGGACTAAGTGCAACCTATTAAAGGATTGAAACATGTTTACATGTGCAATTGCACTGCAATTAATTATTTTCACATCTGAAACGAATCTCTCTCTCTCTCTGCGCGCAACACTATCAATAAGTTTCTTTGGAAGTTGCAGGGGGACATGAATGGCTCACTGGATGTGAATTCTTTATTCCTTTTCTTTCCATCTTTAAGCTGCTTTTAATCTTTGTTAATCATGCTCTTGATACGATCCGAATCTCCATCGATCTCTATCAAAGCGGCAGTCCAAAACTTATGTCCACGGTGGTTCCTTAAGAAGAAGACCTAGACTGGAAATGGTTCCATGATATAAGAATTATTTACTGGAGAAATCGTTGTGGATCAGATGCGAGGAAAGAAATCCCACATTTTCCTATCTGATTAAATTTCTTTTCTAGAAGGCCGTGCAACTACACGTGAAGGTTTGACCGGTTTCGACTGCTTGGACTCTTTCTTTTGTATTGCGTACAGAGTGCGTACAAAAGGACGGGCTCATAGGTAAGTGTGGGGTCAGTGGATTTGTGAGGGAAGAAAAATAAAAGGGCGTGGGTTGTGCTTTTATTTTTCTCGCCTGCCGCAGCCGCACGGTGGACTTGCAAATTCGGACGCAGAGTGGGAATCTTCTTTGTGCGGCTCACAAAGGAAGCTCCCAAAACGGCGATTTGTGCAAAAGATTCTACACCCAATCGAGGCGTTTTCTTCATGGAGACGTGAGTGTTTCAAGCTGTGAGTTAATTCTCTGTGTGGCTCAACATTATGGATTTGGGAATAATTTAAGTGTAGGAAAATATTCGAACGTGTGAGCGATTGTAACTCTATGATTTTTCGATTATTAATGAATTATTTGCTACTAGCTTGTCTCGTGGAGTAGATACTGACACTTGAACCGAACTACATAAAACTCTGGTATTTTTTATTGTTCCAACAACAACCCCTAGTTCATACGGCGTCGTGATTAATGGAGCACGATACATGATTATTGGAGCTTTTGGAGCTTTCCCAGCAAGTTCACATCTATAGAGAATGTCAGGTTCCTTGAACCAACAACCTCCGGTTTATACGTGGTCGTGATTCATTTTATATTCGCGATCCTTTGTAAGTGACCTGGAAGCGTCGCGTTTTGGAAGTTAGTTATCTTTAGTACTCTTTAACGGCTCCATTATCTCATATAAATACTGAATCATGCATATTGGCATAATCAGCGTGGCAATTCCACTATGTATCCAAATGCACAATCTTAAGCCAAACTGAGATAACTAAGTGGCAGATACTATATTAATATACCATGATAGATTGTGCTATGATAAAAATTCATTTGACTTAATTGTATGTAGGCCTATCGGGTTTCGTTGGCATCTCTACAGTTTCTGGAAATGAACAAAACTTAGCATAATGAACTGATAAAGTAGATTCTTTGCCGCCACGTAAGTGACAAGGTCCTTATAAAAACATTTTAATTAGGTAATCAAATACTATAAGGATCATAATCTGTTGTTATAATTACTAATCAGGTGGAGTGGATCCTTCCCTAGATGCTTGAAACGTGCACAAGCATGAGCCAATAGTTCTCATGATAAGTTGTGGAAACTTTTTTGGTTTGAACTTGTCATGGGTTAACCATGGATAGGAAATTTTACTTAGTGACTTGAAAGAGAATAGGAGTTCTTTTTTGTTTTTAGCTGCTTTGGGTTCCCTTGGTAAAGAATTAAGGACCACATTCCATTTGTATTGGTCTATCAATAGATAATCTCTTTTAGGGTTTCCAGATTCTTTTCTAGAATTACTTATTATGTAAAAAAATTTCTTGATCAGAATACGTATCTGCTCTTGAGTACCCTCACCTGTCATCCTAGTTATCACTTCAAATTTGTATGAAGTTCAATTGTTAACTAAAGCAACTGTTTCATGATTAAAGGTTTGCCTTGCTGAGCTGCCATTAATAAATTACTTCCTCCTTTGGTGGATTTTTATGCATTCTCTCTATCACTAATTGGTTTCTCAACTTTGATTAAGTTCATTACCATGAACTGCTTTGTCCTAGTTATCCTATCTTTTAATTAATCTCCAACTGCAATAATTTAGTACAAGTTGAAATAGCTTAATAGCATATGTATAATCCTAAGATCTCTTCTTCGTAAATAAAGACTCAGCCTTTCCTTAGTCTTGTCATATTCTCATGTGCCCTCAACTTTTGTTTGGCGAAAACAAAAAGTTGAGGACCCATATGGCGAAAGAAAAGACAACTAGTCAATACATTATATCTATGTTGTCAGGTGATATACGCTTGCATGCGGTGTATACGCATACGGAGATGTGTATATAGACTCCGAGCTCAGCGATTCACCATATCCAGCTCTCTGAGAAGAAGCTGAGAATGGCTGATGAGCAAGAGAGATTACTACCAATCGCGAACGTGGGCCGTATAATGAAGCAAATCCTGCCGCCGAGCGCCAAGATCTCCAAGGAAGCCAAGCAGACAATCCAAGAGTGCGCAACGGAGTTCATAAACTTTGTGACGGGCGAGGCATTAGACAGGTGTCACAAGGAGAATCGCAAGACAGTGAACGGGGACGACATCTGTTGGGCTCTGAGCAATCTAGGGTTTGACAACTATGCTGAGGCAATGGCCAGGTACTTGCACAAACATAGGGAGTATGAAAGAGAGAGATATAGGAACAACAACAACAACATCGACAACAACAATCAAACCCTAGCTACTACAAGTGGAGACTATAAGGATTCTGAAGAGCTACACTTCAGAATTGAAGAGCAACAAGTAAGGCAAGTTGAAAACGGCCAAAGTCTTGCTCCATTAGAGTTCCAATTCATTGACAAGGGCAAGGGTTCCACATCTGAGCCAGCTTGAAGGTGATACTTCTTTTCTTTTCACAAATTCACAAATCAAGATGCTGATGTATGTACACAAGCTGAAAACAAAGATTAGCCAACATTGATTTGACCAGACTACTTGAGTTTTTTTTTTTTGGACGTAATAATTGAGTTTGATGGTGGTTAATGAGAGTTTTTCCTTCAAAAGGTAACTCTGGATTCTTTAGACATCAAATGTAACCTCATGAACTTTAGAAACTTTTAATGAACTTTCAGCAATTTTCTTTTTCTCCCGTTTTTTTAAATTTGTGCAGAAATGATATGGTTAACATCAGTGGAGTTTTATTAGGCATGTTTTTTTTAGGGATATGGAGAACTATGGAAGAATAAGATAAACTCTATGATCTCTCATTTTTCCTAGTGTTTTGAAGTGATATTCATAGTAGAAGATTTGTAGTGTGAGTTTGAGAGAGCTATTTCACATGTAGATCTTTTCTGATCTTACTTCATTTTACCTTCCTGGAAAACCCTATAGACTGAAATTACAGCGAACAGAATGAAAATATCTGCGATGAAAAAGCCGGTTACATCTTGCATGAACTATAACAACATACAAATCATCAAGACAATGGTTAAAACAAATAAAGGAGGGAAGACTCTTAATTGGATATATAGTAGAGTCATCAGAATAGTTGTTGAGCAAGATTTTTAATACAATTAAGGGTAAATTTCAGGTTTTTCCACGGTTGTCAATGATTCCGGTTGAGGTAGTTTTAATTTAACAAATTTTTCTGAAGGCCTGACTACATGTGTTGGGAAAAACAATAAAAACAGATTGTATTATGTAATATTCTGCAGGTGTAGTAGGCTGACACTACAAATTTCATTGAACTCCTCAAAAAAATGTTCTAGCAACACGGTTGAGAAGTTTGATCATGGTGTCACATTCAATTTTGGCTCTTTCAGACACACCTGCATTTAGAACTTCTATTTAATCCACTGCTAATAGAAAAATTTGTTTCAACGTATAGTGTCAATACCTGGTTAATATCTTGCTGTGTAAACTATAAGTGGAATTACCAGATTTCACTATGATTAGATCTCAATATTGCATTTGCATGACTGAGTACTAGTTGCATCTCTCTCTCTCTCTCTCTCTCTCTCTCTCTCTCTCTCTCTCTCTCTCTCTCTCTCTCTCATGTACACACTTCAAGGCTAGGGTAAAGATATGCTGCTGGTGCTGGGAACTGAATAGACAACATGGTGAGTTGTGCAGAGTCATACGGCCTATGAGAGTTCCCCGACATTTTATTAGGTTTAGGGTTTCCTAGAAACAGGGACCACGATTTCGTGGCTTTACACACCGTGATTTCTCGTGAATATCCAACCAAATCTCAGCCATGTGTGTTTTATCTTTAGGGCATCTGGATTGGTACTTCTTTAATGAAAAAGAGGTTATTTTCTCTTACGGTAAAAATTACATCTTTTACAGGAATGTTCCCGCAAAGCTTCGAGGGACCACTACTCTCTCTCTCTCTCTCTCTCTCTCTCTCTCTCTCTCTCTCTCTCTCTCTCTCTCTCGCACAAGTGTCGATGATTCTAGCATATCTTTTCAATATATATAATAAAGATGTACTTGCTTGAATAGGTTAATTTCACCTAGACAGATCTTTTTCACATATATTACAAATGTATTTGCTATAATCGGTTACTTTCACCTAAATACCGGATTACAATAGAACTTATGTATACTTGTCACTTTTTACTTGACAATTCGTGCAATTTTATTAGAATTTTAAATCCGATTAGTCAGTTATTATGTGTGGAGATTCTCATTACTTATCGTTCTTCTGTTCTGTATGGATGATAATTGTGTATCCCTATATCATTTCAATTGGATATGAAGAATTGTTGACGTACGTATATCATCGCGTCAATATGGGGTAATAATTGGCCTTATATATTTGTGACCTTTCTCTAAAATCCCAACTTGGGTGTTTAGGTAGAGATTTGTAAAGGATTAAACTTTTATTGAAAACACTGAGCTTTACCTGATGCTAAAGTCGTGTTAAATCAATTATTGCGCAAGTGATGCCATTCATTTCATGATTATTATATTTAGAATATCAGTGTAAAAAAGTTTGACGGGTTGTAACTTATTACCTTAATTTTTTTTTATGTATTTGGAATAGTTACTGAGAAAATGTGGTAGCTCATGCATAATTTGCTCATGCGTTAAAACTGCAATATGTTAAAAATGAGTGGAACAGCTCCAGAATGTAATAATTTTAACTTGCTGCAACTTATAGTATGAGGTGTTGGTCAGCCCCCTAGGAAAGAGGAAGAAGATCCTCTGCTCGGCCACATGGTGTCTCTTGAGACACGGAATGGAAGCACAAACAGGGTAGAAAATCTCCTTCCAGCAAAAGTTGGTGACATTCCAAATAATCTCGCTATCTATGTTTGTGATGAGGAAGCTCACCTTAAGTAGGTGAATTTGGGGTTCATAAAATATCACACTTAGTTTATCGACTAGATAAGATGCAAGCCTAAGTTCGACTGGATGGCCCAAATATTGAATTGTTATAATTAATTAGTGGTACGAGAAATTGAATGTGTGTTGTGTGCATAATCAACATATAAACATATGTTTTTAACAATTAAGTCACCACATGGTAGTACCCTGGTAATCTAAGGATCATAAGAGAGTAAGTCCGCGATTAAAGTCGGGAATTTCTAGGATCCTTACATCGCTTAAACTTTTCTCCAGAATAAGAAATCCATGAACATTGTTTGTGTATCGAGACCACGGCTTTGAGTGGAGTGTTAGGATTCGCCGCACAATCACAAAGAAAATAGAGAATAAAAGCGAGAAAATATAATTTGAGACGCGAGGTTTTATCTTGGTTCATCCTTAAACTGGGGCAACGTCCAGCTAATGATTCCACTATAATTAGCACTTCGCACCTCTTACATCTCTCAATTATAAGAGAAAGAGAATATATATATAGGCAATAGTTTGATTCAAAATAGGAAACCTCTTTCTAGAAAATCCACTCCAATTAGGAAACTATTCAATTAAGAAATCTATTTGAATTAGGAAATCTAATTAAGCAGGACCCCATGTTGTCCGGTCGCTGGGGAGTATGAACCATACCCCAACATGGAGAAAGGAAAAATAAAACGTACTTGACATAACAAAAACCATAAATGATATAAAAAATCAATTCACAAAAAAGCACTCAAGCATACAAATGCTTACACACGAAATTCTAGAGAGAACGCTCTCACTATTGTTAACGTATATCTCGAGTTTGTGCCCATGAACTAAACTTGACTGAATCAAAATATGTTGAAGTCCACTCAGTATTGCAGGGACCTTGATTCCTACTCCCATCATGGTAAAATCAAAACAAGGGAAATCCTTGTTGGATTAAAAGTCTTCGGCTTAAATTGGAAAGTCCAATCCAACTAGGGCTTTGTGTTAGAATCTTATTCGGATATTCTTATTCCGACATTGGAGCTTGATTTCTAGTTTGAGTCAGTTAAAAGGGGCTTCTTAGATCGCAATATACATAACTACATAAAAGGTAGGTGTTGGTTTTTGTCCATTAGAGAGCAAATGAGCCTTTGGCAGTAATAATCAATTATGCAGCGTGATCGCAAATTACCTCTAGTAGAAGTTGCAAGTGTTTTGAAACCAATAAATCTAGTGGTAAGACTTCTAAATGCCTTTGTAAGATTGAATTATTGTTTCATCAAGGTATTATAAGGGGCTAAACACAATGTGAATTAGTGAATGTAATTGGGGGTTGAGAAATAGTGAGAGTGTTTTCGTGACTCAAATGTGTTTGTAATATCTGCTGTATTGCTTGATCTATAATATAATTTTATATTGCTCTCCCCATGGAATAGGTCACATTGGCTGAACTACGTAAATCTAATGTTCGATTTTTTGCAAATTCTATTCATTTTATTGTTCGACCACTTGTTTTTTTTGCAACAATTGGTATTAGAGCTAATCTCGGTTGACTTGAAGTGAGTCCATGGAAATAGAAGAAGGAAAAGTGAAGATTGACAGATTTGATGGGAATGATTTTGTTATTTGGAAGATGCAGATTAAAGATAACCTATACCAAAGGAATATACACTGAGCCCTATCTAGGAACAAGCTAGGGTTGATGAAGCAAGTTGAATGGGTTTGTTGAATAGACAAGTATTGAGTGTTGTTCGATTGATGTTGGCTCGTGATACTGTGTTTAACATCTTGAATGGGGACTGCTATAGGACTGATGAACCTTGTTGAATATTTACAAGAAGTTGCTTGCGATCAACAAGCTCTATGTTATGCAAAATTTGCTTAACTTAAAGATGGACGAATGTGTGTCGGTTGCTAAGCATATCATTGAATTCAATATGGTCATTAGTCAATCGAATTTGGGTGAGACTGACTTGGTGATAGGATGTGTGCTTTGATTCCATTACGATTGTGTCTCGAATAGTGATGATTATGTTTTGTGTGTCATTGATGATTCATTGTTTGACGGATAAGTTATAGATTTTGGTTGTTTGTCGCTACACCAAACAAGATATGGCTTACTATTTATCAGTGGATGGATAGTAGTAAAGTGTTGTTGGGGAACAACGCTAAGTATGATATTGTGGGTGTTGGTGATATTAGAATCCATATGCATGATCGAATCATGAGAACATTGATTGGAGTAAGGCATGTTCCAGAATTGGAAAAAACCCGATTTCCTTAAGTTAATGCCCATAGATTCAGTTGGATGTTGGTATATGTTGACATCTAAATTTTGGCGCATCATTTAGTGGTTAATTGCATAGAAAATTAGGGATTAAATTTTAACCCCTAAACAAAAATATTAAAATGGCATAGCATATAGTTTAGGATCATATAGATTAACTGCATTCCACATTGGATCGGCGGTGGCAAGCGAGCTTAAAATTCATCACGTAAATCGAGCTCGGGCACCGAACGAAACTCGACTCACTCGGAAGATGGGGGCCGAAAATCAC